TTTGAACCTAATTATGTACAATTATATAAATTAAGTAAATCCAAAGACATGTGAAATAATGGAGATATGTTTGGGGATCAATTTTATCTGTTCTTAAAGAGTTCCTTGTACACACAGCAGGGTTCAACAATTACTTGTCTAACTAAATTTGATCATAAACATTCATGAAGTTATGTTTGATACAAATGAGAAACACACTGTAATTATAATGTATTCAGGTCTAAAATATAAGAAGTATCCTTTTCTAAGAACTCTGTGAGATGGCTTGAAATGGTCACTCATAATAAGTTTAAAATACATTATTATTGTTAATTTCATTATCCTTGTTCCTTTAATACAGATAAATAAAAAGACTCAAGATCAAAACCACTAACATTTAGTTTCATGTCATTCCTGCAATTGTATTAGCTCTTCAGACTAATTGACTAATTCCAGTTATTTCTTTCCTCTCCTCTTGCTTTCCTACAGTGAAAGCACTTCTAATAAATAGAGAAATGATAAACACGGAGGCATACAAAGAACAAAGATAGGAGGCTTGCAACAGCAAAGTGTGATGGCAAAAGACAGAGCTGACAGTTGTAAGGGAGGGAGAAAGGTTCAAGGTGAGGTAAGAGAGGAGGTCAGATTATGAAAAGCCATGTTGTGAATGTCTGACTTTATCCTAAAAGTAACAGGATTCTGTTGAAGGGTATTAGCAATGAAATGATATGATCCCAATCATGTTGAAACGAGTCTTCTGGTAACATTGCAGGAAAGGTACGGAAGGGAGGAGAAGGCGAAGGCTGAAGATAAGCTGGAAGGCGGTTGTGATATTCCGGAAGAGAGATGATGGTGACTTGGATTAGGTGACAGCAGTGGAAAAGGACAGAAGTGTAGATTCTGGAGACATTTAAGATATAAAGTGTGTGAGAGAGGGGAAACTGACTCAATTCCAGCTAGAGCAATGAGAGGAGAGCAAAGCCAGTAAGTGGGATGGGGAAGGCAGTCGAGCACATGAGCTCTGGGGTCAGACCACCTGAGTTCAGATGCCAGCCCTGACGTTTATCTTGTACCACAAATATCTGAAATTTATTTTTTCTGAATAGCTTACCTTGTTGTCCACCTAAGAGTCTTTCTACTCCTTTGATTAGTTTATGGCGGTGTCCATATGCATTGATGCCTATTTCTTTCAACTCTTCATGACCCATATCAGCCAATACATCTAGGGTAATCTGAAAAGTGAAACAAAATTAATTGATTAATCTTTAATAGTTCCTTAGATGATGAAAATTCTTCCATTTGTCTTCAATGCTATCTATGTATCTATTCAAATTAAGAAAATTCTGTTTCCATTATAAGCATGAACTTAAAATTTTCTTAAAGTTTTCTTGATAATTTTATCAGCTTTCTGCTCACTTTAAATACTCCTTAATTGCATTGAGAATTAAAATGGGACAAACTGCTAAAGAAATAAAAGATGATCATTTCTGTATTTCCTTTTCCTTTTTAAAAACCAGCACCTTTTGCTTGCTTCAAGATACAAGAGGGAACAAACAGTAGGCCTGAAAATGGGGAAATACCAGATACTAGTATCCAGCAGGTAGCCAATGTGAATGGTGGGGAAATGGAGAGGTGCTTAGCACAATGAAACAGAACGTGGCAAAAAGCAGTAAGTGTATTAGGTAGTGAGGACTTATATAAAAATAAGGAGGAATTCCCAGAGCTAAGAAATATTCAAGCACAAAAAAAGACTGCCTTACAAAGTAGTGAAATTTATATCATAAATATTTAGTTACCTTATAGACCATTTTATATAGAAGCTAAGTAAAGAATTCCAATTTGAAGATGAGAGTTGATGGTTTTAAGTTCTCTTATAAATTCTCAGATTTAACAATTCCTGAAGCCTAACATAAATTCTATATTTGTACAAAATAGTTATTGTTAATTTTTGGTTATTCATCCTTATAAATGCAAATGTTTCAAAATTATCTAATTCTTTGGTTGACTAAAAGTAACTGTGACTGACTCTATCGCCATTGAGTGGCAGTGCTCTGAATGTACAGGGTGAAATCATGGCTGACCACATTTCTTGAGGGCTGAACATGCAATTTTCCAGCTCAGAAGAAACTGGTTCTGTGACCATCCAAATACTACTTCACAAGATTAGCTTTTGATTTTTTCTTTCCTTGGAAAACTGAGAAATCTTTTTACAGATACCCCTTTTTGAACTCAAATGAGATACTTTTTATCTATCCATAGCTTCTCTACCTTTACACTCGTATATAATATTTAAAAGACTGATAAATTAGGCCTGGAGCTCTTCTGATTTTTATTGTTAGAATGAAATATTATATAATGAGTCTGATCTTCTCAGTACAACGAGCATTCATCACTCAGTCTTTGGAAATAATTCGCTATATTGCTCCTAAATGGCCATTTAAGAAATAATTGCTCCACTGCACAAAATGGGCAATTCACTTCCAATCACCCAAAGGAAGTTTTCAGCAGCCTTTAAAAAGCAACAGTTCTGAAATATACATCTTTGAGACAAATAGTTCATTATATAGTAGGAACCTTTATATGTTTAGCTAGATGGGATTTTAATATAATTTGGAACCATGCACAAGGTTTTCTTATTGACATCCTACTGTTTTCCTTCTAAATATTCTAAACTTCAGTTCAAATAAGGATTGATGTAAAAACAGGATTTAATATCTATGTGGTAGCTTTAATTCATACAATGCTTAAGCTTTTCTGAATTAATACGTATAGTACATATCTGGAAGCAGAAACCAGGTCAGCAAATTACAGTATTTGTCCATTATATAGCTCTAATCATAAAACAATTACCTCATTTATTCCTCAAAATAACCCATCAATAATGAGATAAGTGCCAACAATTTTTGGAAAGAAAATAATGATTTTTAAAAAATTCTTTTGAGGCGGTTTCATAGCCTAAGTTTTGACATGTAATCAAACATATTAAACCAGACTGCTTATATAGATGTGACAAATAACAATGAAAGAATCCCATCATCTGTTAGACTATTTGGGGGAGAGATATAGAATACTGGATTTCTCCTGGCTTCTTTAGAAATTTGTTGTGGGTATAAAAATAGCAGTTTAGAAGGAGAAAAAGAAAAGTGAAAAATAACTCTTACTATTAAATGACTCAAGAGAGCTTACCTGTTCTGTTTCAAAGATGTCCCGAAGGTGTTCAAGACCAAGGCTTTTTAGAAACTGGCTGATATTCATGTCAAGACCCGCAACTAAAACAGACATAAAGTTTCAGAAAAAAGTTTATCAATCTAAAGGAAGTTCCAGTATTTTTTAAAGCCACGGCTCTCAGACACCTGTGGCTGTGCAGATGACTTTACATAGCATAAAATAATCCTAAGTTTCATTCAGATACTTCAAGTTTTTTCTGAATTTGGTTGAGAAGTAAAAGTAGTTATCTTTATCAAATCAGTAGTATTTATATTAATTTTAATATTATAGTGCATAACATGCTTTTAGTGTAATATTCAACTGTAGATATAAAATTCCAAATTTATTCAGCTACCATTTTAGTTTTCATTCCTTAAATAATCTGTTTTTCCTGATAGATTTCAGTAATAAGACCCAGTAATACTATGGTTGGAAATTGATGTACTGAGATATACACAAGTAAGAACAATGTAGATGCCAAGACATTTATTCTATGAAGACATATTTCTCATAAGCTGCTGTATATATGAAAACCTACAGAGAGTTAAGATATCTGTAAGTGAGGTGTTCAATGATTACCAATAGAAAAAAAGGGAATCTGTTAATTAAAACAAACAAAAGAAAAGAACCAAATAAGTATTCCCAGGGCATACTCACCTTCTCCTTCCTTCCTTTCTGTGCCCGCTGCACCATCCCCCGTGTTGGACGCCCCTCCTACTGCCAATTCCGCTAAAGGGACAGTGAGGTTATCTATGCTGCTGGCAGCGGACAGGCAGGAGGGGGTGGATGCTGGTGAGATGAGCGAGGCACTCACTACGGTAGCCTGAGGTTTAAAACAGGTAGGTAAGGCCTCTGGGGGCATGGCATCTATCAGCAAAGCTCTGATATCGTCAGCCTAAAAGTGATACAAAAAAACACAAAAATACCACATTTAAAAGTGGTAAGCTTTTCACTAAAGACCAAGTGCTTTGTGAATTTTTTTCTCCAGTAAATGCCTCATTATCTCCTGTTTGTTTCTAGTCATTTCTTCCTCTTCCCTTCCCTTATCCACAGCTCTGGAGACTATAGTAGTTTCAGTAGGTAGAACTGGAGAAACTATTAATTAAAAAAGTATTTCATTTTTTGAGCACTGAATGTACAGTTTGAAGGCTATAGTTAAGAACACTATTATACCTATACTTGAAATATGCTGAGAGTAGAGTAAGTGTCCTGGCCAGACTACAAAAAAAGAGTGAACTATGAGAAAAAAATCTACGAATGTGAACTATGTTGACTCCTGAAAACACTTTTAACATTAAGTGAAAAGTGTACACACAATTGTTCAGATTACACGTGTATTTAAAGGATATGCAAGTTAATAAAGATGTGAAGAGTTAAAAATATTTCATCTTTCATTTTAAAAAGCACATTTCAGAGTGTTAATTTTTAATCTTTGCTTTAGAAGTAGTTCCATATTTATTTACTGTATTTTGTTTATACTTAAGCAACTACAATAGTTTTTGTTCAGCTATTTAGTGCACGTGATTTAATGCACAATTAAAATCTGCTGAACTTTTAGGGAACAGTACTTTAATCTGGCTAGCTATTCATGAACTTCATAGTTTGTTAGCCATAACTGGTGTCAGAGGATGTGCGAGACAGCTTCCAAAGACAGCCAGACATCCATCCCTCCTCTGCATGCATGTCTGTTTCCCTTCTCTAGAATCTGGCTTGCCCATCAGTTGCTGTGACCAATAGAATGCAGAGGAAGTGATCGTCTGAGGCTTTTGAGCCAGGATTTAAAAGGACTGACAGCTTCTACTTTTCCTTCCTTAGAAGCTATCCTCCATGATGTAAAGAAGTTTGGGGTAGACTTCTGAGTGATGCATACCATGCAGAGAGGCCCTGTAGGATGAAAGGCCATCCTGGACACTGCAGCTTCAGCTGAGGTCCAAGTAAGGTAAGTGCACAGACAGCAGAACTACATCGCTGAACCCAGTCAACCCACAGAATCACTGTATGAAGCCACTCACTCAATTTTGGTTAGGCTACTAAGTGTTCTGGAAATCATTTGTTCCTTAGCAATAAATACATGAAACAGAATGTGTCTTGGAAATGTATTTCTGGCTTAAAAATATGGTTAGTTATTGTGACCATTATTAACTCTCTGATTTTCAGAAAGTTCAGGAAGATAATGCGTGTTTTAACTTCGTAGTTAAATAATATTTAACCACAAAAACTAAATTCTTAGTTTTGAAAATATTTCTACAGTATATCAGTTTATTTTTCCATCTTCAGAAGAATAATATACTGCCCAGAAGTAAATTTTTTCTAACTATCCCAAAGCCTCAGGTAAATTATCATGAACAACAGTTGTTCTAGAGCAGCAGTTCTCAACCTGTGGGTCGAGACCCCTTTGGCGGTCAAACGACCCTTTCACAGGGGTTGCCTAAGACCATTCTGCATATCAGATATTTACATTACGATTCATAACAGTAGCAACATTACAGTTATGAAGTAGCAATGAAAATAATTTTATGGTTGGGCCACAACATGAGGAACTGTATTTAAAGGGCCAGAAGGTTGAGAACCACTGCTCTAGAGTAATACACCTAATGTAGAAGGGATAAGACATTTTTGTGAGTACAGTTCTTTGAGAATACACTCTACGTATTTTTCTATGATTTATCTTTTCCCTACAAGTTAAACATGGAAAAAAGAATTACATTAGCTTACACTACTTAGTTTTTCTTAACAGAGTTTTAAAGTATATTAAAAAAGCAAATTAAAAAAATTTCAGAAGGAAGGAAGTCTGTTCTTATTCTAAGTGAAAAATGCATTTTAATACTAAAGGTCCTGCTAGGCCCTGCAATGTAATATCATCTCTGAAAGTATAAAAAGCAAGTGTGAGGATTTTGAAATGAGGACTTACTGTTGCCAGATCTAAAGGTGTCTGACCTTCTTGGTTCTTCATAGTTGGATCTGCTCCATGCGCTAGGAGGAGGGCACATAACTGGGTCCTTCCTTTTTGGGCTGCTTCATGAAGAGGAGTAAAAGCCCACTTATCTGTTGCATTTACACATGTGTTGTATTTTATCAATAATGCTGCTATGTCCACATGCTGAAGAAAAGAAAAGGATGTGAAGAGTTAAGAAAGATTACCTGGTAAAGCTCCATCACATACACTTCCTTTATTTCACATTTCATTCCCTCTAGATCTCTATGAAGAAGTTTATTCTATAAAAGGAGTATTTACTCTCCCCCCCTTCCCTGTATTCTGGACTACATCCTTCCTTGCCTCCTCCAGGATATCAGTTCCACAATTATTATTTTGTCCTGTAATCCTAATTCTTCATGGGAAAATTTAACATTTTTATTTAGCCTTCTAACATATTCAGGCCTATCTTAAAAACAAACATTTCTCTTCTGACCCATTACTAGTATAATCTGGTTTATTTATTAAAATAGTCATCTCAAAGCTTCTTAGCCTTTGGGAACGTAACATAACACAACAAAACCGTATTTTACAAAAACTAGTCTGTCACGTCCAAAATGACTTGGGGGGCGAGGTTATTAGCAGCAGACACATTACTAATAACCTGGGCATGAGATGATGAGATCCTGAACTGTGGACTGTGCTGGTTGGAGAAGGAAAAAGAAGAGCTAAATCTGAGATATTTTGAAGGGGAAAAAATATTGGCTTTTAGAAAGACTAACTACAGAGGAAGGAAAGAAGAAAAGTCCTTTGTAGGAAAAGTTTAAGTAGGAATTCTATCTAATAAAACACAAAAAGGGTAATTGACCATACCTTCGCTATGCTTCCCATTGGCTAATCAGGGCGATATGCAAAGGGCGATATGCAAATTAACCACCAACAAAGATACGTAGGCTCCAAGCGGTGGAGCGAAGCCAAACGGCCAGCTGAGCAGTGAGGCCTCATGGCCCCGGGATCAGCGGAGCTGGAGGCCTCACGGCCCTGGCGCCAAGCAGAGCCGCGAGGCCTCACGGCCCGGGGATTAGCGGAACTCCAAAGCCTCATGCCCCCGGGATCAGCGGAGCCGCGAGGCCTCACGGCCCCAGGATCAGCGGAGCCGCGAGGCCTGATGGCCCCAGGATCAGCGGAGCTGTGAGGCCTGACGGCTGGGGGGGCCGGGGGGGGGCGGCGGCTCTGGCCGGAGCCCAGCCAGAGCAAAGGCCTGAGTCCCAGGTGCCGGAGGAAAACTGGTGCCAGCAGCCAAAGGAAGGGAAGGCCTATTGCACGAATCTCTTCATGCAACAGGTCTCTAGTCTATAATAATAAAAGTGGAATATGCTAATTAGACCGGACAGCACAACAATCTTCTGGGAGTCCTTCCAGATGACCTTCGGGACAAAGCCGTGGCTGTAAGGGCCGAGGCAAGCTGCCGCGGCTGCGAGGGCCAAGCCCCTTGCACAAATTTCGTGCATCAGGCCTCTAGTGAAACTATAAGAACAGTAAGGTTCACTTGGGGTATACAGATTTGAGGTAAAATATCAAAGCCATGATGTTCTGTAAATGGTCAGACACAAAAGGTTGAAGCACAGATAAGAAGGCATCAGTTATTCATTCAATTACCCACTCACCCATCAACCAAATATTTATTGAACACCTACTAAGTGCTTGGCACTGGAGGTAGGAACTCCAGGGGAATGACAAATTGGAATACTGAGTTGAAAGCTATAGCTACTTGATAAATGAGCTCATTAAGAAAAGGAAACAGATAGATAATCAATCACAAGGGGGATAAAGCCTTAAGAACAACAATATTTTGGGAAAGGAGAGTGGAAGACAAAAGAGACAATAATATAATAACAGCAGAACTAAAAAGAGGCAGGACTATGAAAAACAATGTAGGAGAAAGTTTCAGGAGAGTAGGTTCTCTCAAATAATACCAAAGATTTCAGCTTCTTTAGAAAGTCCTTAAAAAACAAGCTTAAGACAATGGATTATGCAAAGGTGATACTGATGCAATGATTAGGCTTCTGAGAATAATAAAAATTAACTTTATTCTTATATACACATTTAAGGATGCTAGTTTGGTTACCACTAAAGTACTTCTGAAACCCCTTTCAACACCAATATTCTATAATCTTTGTGCAATTGGCACATTGGTGTTCTTTATGGATACATTTCCTGGAATAACTTGATTACTTTAAAAAATATATGTATTTATTAATTTTTAGAGAGAGAGGAAGGAAGAGGGATAGAAAGAGAGAAACAATGATGAGAGAGAAACATCATCAAATGACTGCTTCCTGCACATGCCCCACTGGGGCCTGAGCCCGCAACCTGGGCATGTGCCCTGACAGGGAATTGAACTGGTAACCTCTTGTTTCCTGGGCTGACGCTCAACTGCTGAGCCACACCAGCCAGGCTAACTTGATTACTTTTGATAATTAACTCAGAAGAACATTATCTGTTGAGAATAAATTTCTAACTCAAGCTATTGCTCAACTTCAATATATTGAGTTATCTGAACTGAATTTCACGAGAATGGGAAGAGATGGTGAAAGGGAAGACAAAAATCCCAAGATGGGATTTAGGGCATGTTTTTTCCTATTTTCCTTAAGACAATTTTGGCTCTCTTAAAGGTACCTATTTCAAAAGAAAAGGTACTTTTTTTTTCCTGAGGTATCATTAAAGTTTTTTTTTTTTTAACATAATACAAATACTTATTCATTTTAAGAAAGGTAATTTGAGAATACAAAGAGAAGGAAACTTATTAGAAAATACAAATCAGATTTGTATAGGTTTCTAATAAAGATTCCATATTTACTTTGACAATATAAAGACCAAAAAAAAACCAAAACCATAATCAGGGGAGAATTACTGAGAATAGGATGTTTTGTGATATTTTTGGGATTTTGAATGATATCATCATTATAAAGCTAATCTTAACACAAAGATAAAAATAGGCACCATCTATAGTACTATGTCAAAATCACTTAAAACAAAACAAAACCTAGTCATTTATCTCCCTTACTAGAAGGATACATGTTAGTTATTTTGCTTAGTTAACCCAAAAGCATGGGATAATTTCAAGCTTCTTCACAGTAAAGTTACAACTTAAATTGTGTTTCTGATATTAATTTTACTCTACTCCCATGGGTACTGAAAGAATAATACAATTTGGTAGACTAATTTTCACAGGCTTCCAAAATTAGGTAGTCCAAGGAAAATTATGTGCATGTGTATAAAGTGTATTACATATATGGTGTGTATTATTAAACTTCCTTTAAATTTATAGTTTATGCTTGGGGAAACCAGTTTCAGGCTTTTAAAATTTGCTGACAAAAGTCTGAAAGAGTGATAAATAAAAAGGAGTATATTACTACCTATGTACACTAAAAACACAATTATTAAGTTTTTTAAATATCTACATCACTGAGGCAAAAATAGAAACTGAAATTTAAGGCTGACAAATGCTATAAATAAGCTACAGGTCAGTTCTATACAACAGATAAGAGCAAAGTCCTGAAAAGTGAAATGGCGAAGATACTAAGTACTGGCAGGCCTAGAAAAGGAACTGAACTCTTAGAATGTTTCCAGGAGAAACAGTCCATTTAATATGGTTTCAGAATCCAGCTTTAAAATGTTTTAAATGACAAATACAATGTAAAAAGGGCCCTAATTTAACGTAGGTGGGAAGCAGAAGAAAAACATGCTTGGTTTTTGCAGGGGGCCTGAGGGAGTCAGGATATTCTCATTCTGAAGGGCAAGGAAGAAGAGAGTAAGAGAATATGAAAATCACAGTGACCAGTTTTTATTTATAGTTTGTCAGGCGTTGGTAAACCTGGAAACTGTCCTCATCAGTAGTGATCCCAACCGTGAGACCCCTGGTACGCACAATCTGGCATCTGTGAGTTTTATAGCCCAATCGGGACTAAGTGGATGAGCAGACAAGCACAGCAGCGTTCATGCTCCCCTGTGTGATTCACTGG